ATGTTTCACAAACCCTGCTCTGAAACGGCTTCCTCCACCTCCACTGGGGTAGTGAGGGCACATCTACCACAGGAACTCTGCAGCCACCACCAGCCTTTAAGCCTCCCCAACATCCTCCCCCTTTGACAGTGGTTCCCTCCAGATGCTCAGTATCTGGCTCTGCCATCTTACTGATCCTTCTCCTGGCTGCCAGGGGATCATCTTCTGTGAGGGGGAATTATAGGGCCAAGGGGAGGTTAGGGACCACAGGAGTGAGGAGTGTAAAACCACCAAACATGGGGTTGCATGGCAGGAGGACAGAGGGAAACCTTGAGGCTGTGCTGGAGGTTTTGGCATGGCAGAAGTGCAGGAGCCCTCAGTGACCAGACTTGTGGAAAGTTAAAGCAGGAGTGTAATGCTGGGGGAACAGCAGCACAGAGTTCAGTAACAATCAAATGTTAACTCACAATGAGGCACTGCTAATATTCCTTGAGGGGATTTTCACTTCAGGCAAGGTAGTTCATTCAACATTTACCTTGAAAGAGATGTAAGAAGGTCTGAGAATGAGCCTCAGGAACACTGTTCCCTTCAGCCCTTTAAAAAGCCTGCTTAATATTCCGAAAAGACACCCTAATCCTGTCAGCAGTAATGCTGGAGAGACAGTAAGCCAGCTCTTCCCAGTACAGCAGAAGTAACACTGCAGTGCACGGAATAATTCTGGTTTGACCTGAACTTCTGTTCCTTTTTGTGTTAGTCATTTTTTGCTACACATTTCTAAACTGCAAGTGGTCTTCTAAGTCGGTGGTGGTTTTACCCAGCACAGCACTGCCTGGGGACTGGGTCCATGTTAGCTGAGATGGATCCACCAACCAGAGGCCAGCGCTGGTGATTTGGATGTCAATACATTGATTTAAGCTGTTTGTTGTGTTCACGCTCTGTGTTAATTAATGTAGATGGAGAAATTCATGTCCCTTCTGAGCACCATCCACAGCCATCACATGAGTCTGTCAGAGACTCTGTGAACACAGAGGTGTCAAGTGGACACACACCAGCTGTCATGGGCATATAGGCTGCATTTAACGAGGTGTGTGGCAACTTGCTAACTTCTTCAGTCCGCAGAAGTGCAGCAGGCCTTTCATATCTTGATATTGGCTTAAAATCTGCAGTAAGATGTCACTGTAATGGTGATCTCCCTAAAATGAAAATTGTCCCTCCTGAATCTTGAAGAAAAAGGGATGTCTTCCCTGTCCACACCAGTAACAAATTTTGATAATCAAGGTAACAAAACCTGCAGTCCCTTTTACCCCTTCCTGCCCAAGCCCTTTATACTGGCAGCTGGTTACATCCGCAGCAGGTCCTATCTCCGAGAGAGATCTATGGTAGGAAGAAGCTGAGGGGAGGGATAGTCCGAAATAACTGCCCATTGCTTCAGCATTTGAAAGGACAGTAGAAGGGGAATGAAATGAACTTTGGGGTGCTCCATCAACCCCACCAGTGCTGGGAGGTCCTAGGGTACTCTCGCCCTGCAACAGCTTCCCTGAGGTGAAATAGGAGCAACATGCCTGGCTGGAGTCAGCATTATAGAACTTCATTTATTTCAGTTCTAGATGCTTATCTTTTTACCTTCATCTGAACGCAGCAACCAGAGCATGAAATGCTCACTGTCATATTCATCACAAAGCCCAGCCTGCACTTTGTATCCCTTTTTCTCCCCTTCAGTGCTTCTTGGTATGGACAAGAAATCAGAGTCGGCAAAGGGGTTAACCCCAAATGCAAGACTTACAGGTTCCAACAAATTTGGAAAACTCCTTTTCCCTCTCTTTTCTCCCTCTGACAAGGATTTTTCTTGTCACACTGCACAGCCAGCCTTCCTGGAGTCCACAGATAATGTCCATCTGCCACAGTGATGAGCTCAGACTCTTGGGGGCACAGTCTCACTATCCATAAACAAAAAAATTCCTAGCTGCTATAATCATGTTTTCAGCAATGAGTAATATGTTCTGCAAAAAATACCTAAGGAAGCTGCTAGAGTATGCTGAAGGTGGCTATAAACTATTCTTCTGAGATCAGTTGCTCGACAGTTGGTCAAAATATCAACCAAACAATTACTGAAATATTCCTTACAATTTTCTTTGACTTCTTAAGTGATCTTAGTCATATTAAAATAATCACACTGTTAGGAAGTATTGTGAGGGAAGAATTCGAACTCTCCTCTCCAACACACACTCCACTGGGACTCCATTACCATTTTGACAAGCTTGTGTCAAGAAATTCTATGCCCCTGACTAAAAATTAGTTATTTAAGAGAGCAACAAAAAAATTGGGATCTTTCTCTTTAAACATTTGACCCTGCAGCAGAAGAGGAGGGGAAGGAGAGAGAAGGAGAGAGAATATCATAATCTCTTTAGATAACAACCTGACTCATGGTAATAGCAGCCTAATTGCTATCCAAGTGCTTTCAGCAGGAAACAGGCATACATAGAGAGGCACCTGTGCAGAGGAAGATTAGTTTTAAATGGAAGAAGGACAGAGATATAAATGCATTTTCGTCTGAGTATAGTGGAAAGTAAGAAAAAGTTGTTTGTTTATGTAAAAACTGCCTTATTTCCAGGAGCTGCTTCAGATAATGGGATGTGGCTGGTATGGAATTCATGTGAGAAACAGGTACACTACAGGGCTCAGAATGAAATGGGCATTTGTATTTAGGTAGGGAAAAGAAAATAACCACATGTGGGGAAGAAGTGGTTGATGCTCTCTGTCCAAAATAAATCAGCTTCTGCAATGATTATGACCCTTCTATGAATAAAATTCATAATGTCAGTCTGGCAATACAAAATATAACCTTTACTTGAAAGTCAGTGTGACTGTAGTAAGCGATTTGCTTGGAAGAAAGCTGCATGAGAAAGGAATGGTCTGTAGTTGGCTGATAAGTATCAAACATGCCCTTCATATGCATGAGCCATGCTTTTGTACATTTATGATTTGTTGATCTTCTCTACTGCTCCGTTCTCTGAGCACTTGAGCCCCCAGCTCTGGCTGCAGCTCCCCTGACACAGTGGCTGTGGCCCCAGCAAGCAAGAGGAGGTTTGGGCAGAGCTCTCAGCCTCTGTTCTCCAGCTGCCCTCACTACTTCCTGCAGCAGTTCTAAAAACGGGGCCATGGTGACCAGGTGCTACCCACAGGTCTTGGGGGGAAATGAAGATCTGTATTTCTGAGTAAGAGATGATAAAATGGTGCTTTGTTTGCACAGGACACAGTCTGTGGAGCAGGGAGAGCTGAATATAAGAATCGATTGTGTTCTCTGATGAAGGAGTCAGGTCTTTCAGCAAGGGTATTGATTTATGCATTCAACTCTGCAAGTTGCTTTCCAGTACATCTTTTGCTACTAAAACTCGGTGATGTGAATGTCAATAGGCATGAACAAAAGCCCCATGTTTTGAAAAGCCTGGATATGTATCTGTAGGACATAAAAACTACTATATGTCTTTGCTTTTGCTGTCCTTTGCAAGTCATTCTCATAGATTGCTGGTAGTAGATTTTGCATGCAGTACCCATGCATTACCATGAATGCTACTTTGTCTTAAAAATAACCTTTTTCTCCTATTTGTAAATAGCATTTGATCACAGTCCAGAAATGTTTTATGCCAGAAATTATCTATCTTGTATTGCTGAATAATAGTATTTTGGTAGGCTGCTATGGCAAGAGATGTACACTCTCTGGGTTCAAGCATCTAAGGTTCTTATGGCAACTGTTTTTTGGATACCTTCACAACTAGGAAACCATGCTGAGCCATCCCAGTAATCTCTGGAAAGACAGCAGAATAGAATAAACTGACACGTTTACCATCCTACATTTGTTTTTAAAATATACATAAAAGCATGCCTTACAGAAAAAAAAAAAAAGAAAAAAGAAAAAAACAGCGCACAAAGGCCAAAACAACACTGTGGGGAAAAAAAGGAAACAATAACATGAGAACATTTTATGATTATTTAGCATAAATTAGGATTTTGTTATACTGATATTTAAACTTCAACCAGTGATGGATTGGCATTGTCAATATGTTATACATCATACAGATTCAGAATAGGTACCAATCCTTGCCACAAGGTATCTCTGCATACTGGATTTTCTTCTTTTTTAAGACTTGGTGAAATTTTACAAAATAGGACCTCCTATTATAAATTCATCAGGTTTAAATGACCTTGACCTATAATACACAGCAGCAATCCCAACAAAATAAATGGTCAGCCATGCTGTTAAGCACCCTATTTCAGCTTCCCTTCTGCATTCCAAGGTACTGTTTGCATTAATCCAACAGACTTTATTATCACTACTGTCCCCACACAACCCTTCCACAGCTGCAGGTCTGTAAGTAGCTGGTAAAGGTGGTGTCTGCCTGTGATCACAGACCTCCAGTGTTCATTGTCAGGTTTCAGGTCAGTGCAAACCACACATGTACACTCCTGATGATGATTTCTCTTTGGAAACGTAGCCTGTGCTTCAAAAAAAGGATGGCAATTCTTGAACAGGAAGACGTCAGTTAAATAATTAGGGTTAGCATAGAAGAAACCATAAAGTGTCTATCCCTTAATGTCTTCAAGAACAAATTATAAAAACTTCTGTGAGGGATGTCATACATAATGACATTTGGGGCAGGGAGATGAGTTAGATGACATCCTAAATTCTGTATTTCTGTGGCTCTGTCATCACTGTGCTTGCCCTTGCTTGAGTGCAAGCCTTCACAAGCACAGACCCAGGGGTAGATTGGCAGATGCCAGAGAGAGGAGGTTTGAAATGATATATCAAGCATGTGGGGAAGAAAACAAACACCTGAGCACCTGGAAGAGTTTCATACGCTCTTAGCCATTTTTCCACAAAACCTTTTTAATGTCTGAGGCTTACTCATGAACTTTTTATAAAAAAATAGTCATCTGGTCCACAGTAGAGACTGCACAGTACAGGTAGTTTTATTTATTTAATACATACTGGAAGGTTTAATTTAAGTCATAGATGTTAAATGTGTTTTTATGAAGCAGAAAAGTGTCTTAAGAAACTAAAAATTGACTCTGTAGGACATAAAAACTTTCTAATGTCAGCCATTCAAACACTAAGGGTTAATGTGGCTGTATTGGGAAATATGCAGAGTAGGTGTGCTCATTTCTGAGGATATCTTCTCACTGGCTATTTGTAGAAAGCGGCTGATGACAATGTCTTTGGCCTTCATGGTCTCCATATTCCTTTCCCGTGATATCTGCATGCTGATTTGATCCACATTAGCCATGATAAGCTCCGAGGCCAGGATCTGAGTGGGGGATGCCCTGTTTGCTGTGCTATCCATGATGTACTGCTTGTACAGTTCCACCAGCTTCTGCTCGAGGTAGTCGTTCAGGGCCGAGTCAGAGAGGGGCTGATGGTGTGGCCCCAAGCTCGCCAGTCTCCAGCACGAGGAGTAGCCTTGGCCTGGCTTTCGGACGGTGTCGCTGGCGGGGGGGACCCTCATGGACTCCATGGCGGGAGGAATCTCTGAGGACTCCAAGAAGGGGCCTATGCCACTGTCACAAGCAAAATCTGTCGTGACTGAGCTGATGGGCACCACGTAGTCCCCAGCTATATGCAAATCATTGTAATTCTTGCAAATGCTTTTGCAGGAAGGTGGAACCAGGTAGGTGACTTTTTTTGTCAGCCCTTCGCAGGCACGTGTATCTGGAGATGGTTGCCCTGTGGGTGCAGGGTGATGTGCAGGCTGTGGGAGATTATCCTTCTGCCTTCTGCTGTGCTTGCTACCTCTAGAGCAGACTGAGGAAATGCATTTGCCAGCAGATCTGCATCTCTGAAGGAGGCTTTTTCCTTGTGCTTCATCTGTGGGAGAATAATTAATGGATCTCATTTCATATACCACTTCATCAGCCGAAGTCTTGCTGTAGAGCTCAGGGTTCAGGTCTCCACAAAGGTAGGTGATTCTGTAAAGATAACCTTCTGACAGCATCCTCCTCCAAAGTCAAGGAACCACCAGCAGACAGAAAAATGATAAGAAGAAGTTAATTACAAAAAGTTCATTATAAATTCACTGAATGGTGATTACACTCACAAGTCTGTTATAGTTGCAGAGAGATGTTTCCGATTTGGATGTGAACAAGAGTGACTCCTTTCCAGAGGATTTGAGTCAATGAGTGATCATCCTGTCTCCCTGTTGTGCTGGTAACTCAATCATATCAAAGCATATTCTGTATAACATAACATACACCATGCCCAATGCATCCAATGACAAGTGACTTGTGGAGAGGGGGACAAGAAGTGCTTTGTTGTGGAATAGCTCCTGTAATAACTTACACTTAAATGTGTCTGGTTTTGCCCTGGACTTCGTTAAGAAGCCAAGGATCTTCCCCCTTTTTCTCATATGCTTTGAAGCCATTTTTGTTATGTGTGGTTTGACAGCTGCCTCTGAAATATATTGATTTGAGATTCATATTGAGAGTATCACCCCTTCTGTTCCAGACTAATCAACAACTGTAGATGTGGTTCCTTTTTCACTAAAAAATCTCAGACCGCTAAATTTGCACTTTGCACTTCTGCATTGCAATCAGGATGGAATTGATTGTCTCTCACTTTTAGACATGAAAATGTCAGTGACAAAAGCAAAATCTTTTGGAGGCATGATTCATCCGGCCTGGTTTAGACACCTAAGTCAAAATGAGGTGAACCGTGCCCTAGATTTGCTTATCACCCTCCAGTTGCTATAAAAGAATCTTAAACTGATCACCCTAGATGTAGAAATCTGCAGTGTACTTTTGAAGAGACATATTCAGTGCAATGCATAGGAAAATGCACATTTCAGAAGTACTCCAGCTCTTTCACTGTGGGATTAGCCGCGCCGCCAGCTCTGAAATCAGTTTCCATTACATTTCTGCAAAGGCACAATTGGGTTCCAACAGTCTCCACTCTCTGAGCAGGTAGATCAGTTTGAAAAGCTACTCAGACATGTTAGTAATGAAAGACAAGACTTGCTAGCGAGGACACACATGCATCTGCACATCAGTAAATGTTCTACCCAAGCTTTAGCAGCTCCACTACCACCAAAACTGTTCTTAAGTCCACCTCTGTGTCTTTTTTTTTCAACAGATGTCAAGGATACAATCAATGGGAAAGATGCCCTAAAGAAATTGTTTAGCCCAGCAAAGAGAAAGTAGATCTAAAGTGAAAATAAATTAAAATTAATTTTTTTTCTATAATACAAAATATCTTGTGTGACTGAGAAACAAATAGCTTGTCTTTGCTTTAATTGCAAATACTTTTCTCCATTTACTATTTAACCTAATTATTATCCTTAATGGAAACTGTCTCTGTAGATACGAAAATATGTCCTAGTTATGTGACAATTTTCCTGTCTCTTTCAAAACTCCTGCTATGATGGAGTCCTAGAACGGGAACACCTTCCCACAAACGGTGAATGAAGAGGTGGCATCTCTCTGGGACACGCTGTACTATCCTCTGCTGCTGTCAATGGCTCAGCTTATCTTTTCCAAGAATGAATAATACTTAATAAAGTATTTAATGTGTCACAGTTGCTAGTGCAGAATGCTGCACTAATAATAATTGTTGTGCAAATCCTGTCTAAGCAAGGATATGGACTTTGCACAGATGTTAGATAGGAGACAGTCTGAGAAAAGACTTTCCTTGGGACAGGGAATCACTTCCACTCCAAGAAGAAGAAGAAGGTTGGATGGAAAATAACCTTCCTTCAGACAGAAATATTAATGGGAATTAGATGTGTCTAAACACTTGCTTTGGTGACCCTGGATCCTCTCTGATGCTGCCAGTCATGTGAGATTTCCAACAGGCAGTAGCAATTAATGAAAAGTGATCTGCTTACACAAGAGGGGAAAAAATCATGTTTGGGGCTTGACACTCCTTGCAGTACACTGCTGTTGTCTTGCTTTAGGTTTTAGCTCTGATTAAGGTGCCCCCTCAGAACTCTTAGCCAAATAGTAGAGCTACTCAGGTTATCCACTCATCCTCCTCTCTCCTCTGCTTCTGTTTCTCTCTTTTGCAGTGCAAAGGCTGTTCCCTTCCCCCAGCCATCCATGGACCAGATGGCTTTATTGCAAAGTCACCACTAACTTTGGCTGGCTTGAATCTGGAATTGTTATACGTTTACTGGTATGCTATTTTTAATGTGGATTCTGAGAAATGAGTGGAAATGTAACATATGGCCTGTCCACTGCTCAACCAACAAAGGCAAAGGCGGTTGTGTTCAGGTAGCACATGACACTTCAATCTTTCCTACTCCCCAGATGTGAGTCGTTTTTGCCATAAAGTGATGCATGAGGGAAACGAAACCTTTGGTTTCATTTCTTTGCACTGCATTCTGCTATACTTATTTTAAGAGTTTTGGAGCACACTGTCTGAGACAGGAGTGGAAACAAAAGAACTGGCAAATTCAAAAATATTAGGCTGCCATTGTGCTCAGGAGTTGTGTGTCCTGCTGAATGAGTTACAGGTTTACCCTCTAAAGTTGGCAAGGGCTATTGCACTAATCTGGTTATTCTACATGGAAATCTGATTGAAGTTTTCATAGGCAGTGTTGAGAGTCTGAATTCAATAGGGAGGTGCATATAACTCTGGTCTCTCTTGTCCTAGTACTTAATATAATATATACCTCTGTCAAGTTATTATGCCATCACTCCAGCAGACATGCAATTGGGTCACCTTTAATTTTTGCTTTTTAAATCTGATAAGGATTGCAGATTTCATTAATTCCAATTTCTCCTTCCTTTTCTCTTAATCCTCCTTCCATGCCACAGACACACATATACACCAGAATTCCAAGAGCACTGAGATTATATCTGAAGTCTTTCAATATTTGGGTTTCACGCCTCTTAAATTCACATTTCACTTCCCTCTGCCTGAAAATAACTCCATAACTTCTTGTTACAATTCTGATCTGACACATTTTGCATGTGAGGTGAACAGAGACATTGTCCTTGTGTGGCTACTGTCCTGGAAATGGGAGCTGACTACATTCTGTGTAAGCCTATTGGAGATAGAGGGAGAAGCCTGTCTGGTTTATGCTGTCTTTTCTATCTGACATAGTCTTTAGTACTGTCAGATGATCTTAAAAATTCATATGTCTTGCCTGGGGTTTTTGCTCAGTTCTCCAGCAGAAGAAAGCCTAAAGGCAGGATGAATGTTTAAAGTCACATAGAGAATCCAGTGGTATTGCCAGTGTGTGGCAGCAAATTTGCCAGATCATAATTCTTGTAGATGGTGACAATGTTTGCGTAAAGACCCCAGATTACAGTCTGAGAGCAGGAAAACAGAATGGGAGTTCTTAGCTCAGGATAAGCAAAATGCTTAAGGACAGCCTGAGAAGTGCACACAAATTGATATCATTAATTGTGTCCTATACAAAAACCTGGGTACGACGAAAAGTTGTTATGGAAAACAGAAAGAACATCTGATCCCAGAACAGCTGGGATCACATGTCAGTGGGGAGGGGGACATTCTTTTGCATTGTAAAAAGAGGGGATGGAAACTCGTAGAAGAGACAAGCTCGTTTGGAATATGTCTGGCTTTCAGATCTCTGTGCAAGGATCTGAGTGGCAATAAAGTTGTGCTGCTGGTGATTGGAGCACAAGTCTTATCACAGGGTATACCTTGAGTTCTAATTGGTTTATTACATGGCATCCCAGGTGACAGTCTCCCTGTCTTGAGGGAACTCAAATCCTGTGGATCCATCTGTAATATTTTTTCCCTATTTTAAGACACGCTTTTCCAGGCTGTGGAGATACAGACAGATCCCTTCAGTGAGGTTTGGGATCCATCTCAGAATGCCAGACATGGATGCAAGAGTCCCAGCAAGCAGAATAGTCTGAAGAGTAAACTTGCATGTGTTGTGTGACCCGTATCTCACCTTCCACTGGGGCTGCTGTGAAACAGCTCCCAGGAAGCCTCAGTGCAGCCAGCGTGGAGAAACCAGGATAGTGAAGGAGGGAGTATAATGAGCTGTGCATATGGATAAGCAGAACTTCTCCTTAATGCCCAAAACCAACAGATGTTTGGCATCTGAACCTCATTTGGCTTGGGTACAGGTAATGCTGATGACACTAAACTGTGTGGTGAGGTGGGCATCAGAAGGAAGAGCCATTTTACAGAGACCTGGACAGGCTGGAAGAGCGAGCCAGCAATAAGAGTATCAGGTTTAACAAAGACAAGTGCAAGTTCCTGCACTGTGATGACATAACCAAACAGTCCAGCCCAGGCCAGGATCTGTGTGCCTGGGGAACAGCCTTGCTGAGAGGAACCTGGGGGTCCCAGTGGACAACAAGTCGAACATGAGGCAGCCGTGCAACGGCAGCAAATCGGATCCTGGGCTGCACTACTGGCTGAGATAAAGATATGATCATCCCACTCAGCATTTGTTAGGTTGCATCTGGAGTGTCCAGTTCTGGTTCCCAAAATTCAAGAATGTGGACAGACTGGGGAGCACCCAGTGGAGGGCCATGAAGATGATCAAAGGGCTGGGAAAACTGCCTTGTGAGGAAAGATTGAAAGAGTTAGGACTCTTCTTCCTGAGGAAAATAAGACTGGGGGTAGGGGACAGCTCATCATAGTACGCCAGTATTTGCAGCTGCAGAGATAGAAACTCTCTCTTCACAAGCAGCCACATGGAGAAGACAAATGACAATAAGAACAAGTTACGTTGGAGTAGAGTCAGAGAATCATTTAGATTGGAAAAGACTTCTAAGAGGTCTTTGAGTCCAACTATTAGCCTAGAACCACCATGTTCCCCACTAAACCATGTCCCTAAGGGCCACATTCACTGGTTTATTGAATGATTCCAGGAATAAGAAGAGGTTTCATCTCAATTTAAAAATTTAATTTTTTACTGTGAGAACTATGATTGGAACAATCTTCCCAGGGACATGGTGGAGTCCCCTTTACCGGAGGTTTTTAAGATGGGATTGGACAAGCTTTTGCATAATCTCATCCTTTCCAACATGGGCTGCTCTATGACAAAGATTCTACAATAGCAGTGGCTGTTATTTGAGGTAGGAGTTGGCCCACTTTGCCCATGGCAGAAGAGGAATAGCCAAGAGGTGGTTTTGCACAAGCATCCGAATGCTGCCCGCTGTGTGTGTCACTTCCTCTCCCTGCTGCTGCTGCTCTGAAAGATCTGGGACCTGAAGGGCTGCACCATGAGGCTCTTTCAGCAGTGGTCATGAGCCAAATTCTTCTTGTCCCTGCCCACAGCTCTCTTCACTCTGATCTTTTGGTCTTCCCACAGAAGAAAATACAAGCCCTGCTCATCTTCCTGATTCACATGACAACAGTTCAAGAGATGCAGGAAAGTTGGAGTACCTTTCACACGTTTCAAGGGGAATGAGTATGTTTGAGAGGATAACAATCCTGTATTTCAAGAGTACGAGGGAATCTCCTTGAAGGACAGGCTGAAGAAAGCAAGTGAGGAAAGACATCTTCCCCAAGAACACATTATACTTTATATGTCTACTGTATTGTTAAAAGTTCTTTTTATACAGGTGTCTACCCATTTTTAATCACGCTAAATGGATGACAGTGAGTTTCTGGAGCAGCTGATTTCTTTCACTTAAAAAAATATACATTCTTAATGTATGCTTGAGTGCTATTGTGAAGTTTGGGGGCACGTGTTTCCATGGATAAGTGGAGTTTGGGGGGACATGCTTCCATAAAAATACAATGAAAACTGTATGCTGGTAAATACAGCTTTTTGAGCTCTCAAATAATTACCCAACCAAGGCTGTTTCATCAGTTCAAGTTCCTTGAAAATTCACAAATGCAAGCCTTGTTCATAGTTTTCTACTTTTTTCTTAATCATATATACCCACACAAAGTAGGGTTAGGATCACATCAATCCAGTTGGATAACATTTTACATCTCATATCTACAGCTTTAAGCAACAGCATGAAATGTGAGGCTGGAAAGAATAAGGCTCCACATTCATAAGGAGGACTTGACTACACGATATTTCTACATTGTGCTTTTATGTTTTAGTTCCTGAAGTGGAAATCATTTCATGTTTCTGGATGTCTGTGTTTATTTTAATGAGTTGTTAGTTGTTATCATGACTGAACTACATGAACTACAATATTTTGTATCTAAGCATTTGAAGTAAAGGGACAGTAAATTCATGTGCACTCCTATAGAAGATAATACACTTTTGAGAATTGAAAAGAATAAATGGTAAAGAAAGAAAAACAGAAAAGACTGGAGATGTTTCCCAGGAGTGAGTGAAATGGTCCACAAACAGGCATTGAAATGTCAGTCAAATTTTCTGTAAAGCATAAAAAGGGGGGAGAGGGTACATGATGTGCGTGTACACCCATGTCAAACTGTGAATTTGCAGCAAACTTTGCACAATGATAAAGTTTAGTTGTTTATACTTTTTAACATCATCATGTTTTCAGAGATGTCCCAGCTTATTTTCTATGAATTTTTTTTACATATGATGCCCATATTAATCTCTTGGTGCCTATTTTCATTTCTAATCTGCAAATAGCGTACTCCACTTTAAGGACTATACTTGCATAGTACAGTAACACGTGCAGAAAGTTCAATAACAATACCATAATTACGATAAAAGCAACACATCTGACATGACTCCCTTTAAAAATATTCAGAAAAACATTTTTAGTCTGATTTTGTGAAAGTCTTTAGAATTATCATAAGAACAATGTTGGGTTTTTTTCATTTTGGAGTCACATCACAATCACAGTCGGTCATGGTTGTGAACATGGCACCTTTGAAGTGTTCTCATCACTTCTTAAAGCAGCAGAAACTGCATGTGGACAGTGGCTGAGATTCTGCAAACACAGGTGCATTGAAAACAGAAAAAGCCCATCTTCATTTTACCGTCTACCAGCTGTGGTCCCACACAGACAGAAGTGAGCCACTTTGATAAGCAAGGGTAACATCGTCATACATTTATATAATGCATAGTATATTTTAGTCCTTACCTCCAAAGATACAGCAGCTGACCAGGTACAGCAAACTTGATGCCTTCTAACTAGTTTGAAGCTTCCTGTGTGTCTGTCCTACCCCAAAATGCAATGCTCTGTTTTTATTTCCTTTTTAAATACACTTCTAAGATAACATCTGTTTTACTTCTAATCCTCTATAGCAAAGAAGTATAGAAAGAAAGTCCCTTAGGAGATCAGGGGGTTTTATAACCGACTGAACTGCAACACACTAAACTTGCTTCCCCTTTTATGTCTAAATGAAACTTCCTTGTGAAACTGTGTACTGTTAAAATAGCTGATTGCAACACCGTCTAGGCAGATGGACTGTTATATGAAAAAAAAAACCCTAGTGAGTTGAACAGCCAGAACAATATTAAAGAAACTGCTCATCTGTTGGTACCACACAGTGCACCCCATTTTAGTCACTATCCATCAATCTCCTTTTAGCTGATGCAGAGAGACATCTTGACACGTCAAGATTGTCATGCCAAACGGGTTGGAAGAGTGAGGTACCCAAGCAGAAATGTATCCACAGCAGGCCTACTTTGCTCTCTGCAGACCCTGGTACATATAATTTTCCATCAAACAGCACAGCACAGATGCTTCATCAAGGTTTTACTTGGTGTGGGCAACACTTGTCAGGAGGAAAGTTAGATCCAAAAGTTAGACCTTGTCTTTTTTAGCACTCAGTGCTTGCCATACCCAGGCAGGCAGCTTGTTTTAGCAGGGGCAGTGGATGGAAATACCTTAGGCAAGCAGGAATTCATCCTCTGAGCTTGAGGTGTATGGAGAGTGAATACGGCTTTGGTGTTGGAGTATTCCTTGAAGGGCAGAGGACAAGTACCGTTTGAAGCATGGAACTGGACTGTTTTAATTGATCCCAACAGAACATACAAAATTTGCTTAAGAAGGCATCATTAGGTGTCCATACATTGTAATAATAAGAGAAATACATAAGAAATACATTTTAATTCTCAGTCAATTTTAACTTCTGCATTGAGGACTGTTTGTTTTTTTTTTCTCAGAACCTCGAACTCTGCCAGCCAGAAACCATACTTCTAAGAACATCATTTCCCTAAATAATCACTGTGATGTAATATATGATTAAGACTAGCATCAAACTCTTTTCCAGAGTCTTCTTAGACATAGACATGGAAAAAGTACATGTGCCAATCTAGCCCTACCTACACATCCCTAGCTAATTCATACAAGAGTTTAATAGGTGATATTGTACCAATCATGTGCCATGCTAGGATCAACAGCAGCTAAAATGCATAAAAACTGGACAAAATTGGCAGTTTAATGCAAGTCTCAACAGATATCTTTGCTGAAAAAAATGATCCCTGTGGAAACAAAGCTACTGTAGTAGCAGACCAACTCTTTTTTGCTTAACATTAACATTATTATTAATATTAATATTAGTATATTTTTTTCTTTAATCCTTCATTCTTACTATGGACCAATCTTGGGCTTGCCAAATTTATATTTGTCTAACACTTTTTTTGATGTTTCCTTATCTGGATGAAATAGTATTGAAGGGAGCAAGAAATAAATCACTAGGAAGTTTTATGTCTTCTGTAGATCCAGAGAGCTCTATAGTTACAGGAGATCAATATTTCTAGTTAGACTGTTGGGAAATAAATTTGGTAGTGTAAAAAAGAATTTCTGTAAAGGTCCTTAGAGAGTTTTCAAAATATTTTTTTTAATCATCTAAATCCACGTAAAAACAGGAAGATACAAATAGACAGATATTTTAAAGTAAAAAGTGCTTTCACAGCCAGAAAACTACAGCTATCCAGAATCACTGAAAAGTTGATCTACTTTCCTAGATATACTTCAGTATGGATTTAAGACTTACCTTCAGGCAACTAGATTTGTAAAATATAAGTGGCCCTTTTTTTTCCCCCAGTCATGCACATGGAATGTTTACAGTTCTCTGGAGAACACCATCTCTATTTCTGCACAGTAGCTTTATGTATCTGTGGAAGGGAGATGTAAACCTGTAATTTCTTGTCATATAAATTGCACATTAACATCCTGACAGTCTGGGCTTTGGGGGTATTCATTTATTCTAGTGACCTTTTCCACATTCACTCCTGACCTTGGAAGACCTATCCTCAGCTAAGAAGCACTGATCTATATGAATTTCTGCCATGTGGCTTATAAACTGCTCTGAGTGTAGCACTCTGAGGGCCTGATCCAGAGCTGAATGAGCTGGGAAATGATACAGCACAGCAGCACCTGACCCCTTTCACAGAGATCCCTGCGTGTGCTGTGCCTCCTGCACCCAGTGGAATAGATGTAAGAGGAGAGGGAAAGCTTCAGCACCTCAGGGAGTCTTTCAGTCAGTCTCTGCATCTGTAATTGTAGCTCAAATTGTTTGAGGCCATGTCAACTAATTTTTGTCAGTGTACTTCACTACTGCAAGCCCAATGCACCAGACTGTGTATTCCTATCCCCCAAAGACAAAAGAAAACCATTTCAAGTAAACTGTTTTCTTCTCTACCACATTCTTCTATTCACAGGGAATTTCCTTGAGGAAACTGCTTTAATTTTGATCCCACATACATCTACCTTAGCTTCTTATTTTAGTTCAAGAGTTTATTTTCAAAACAAATGCGCCAGTTGTTTGCCCTCACTGTGCTTTGGTTTTCTTCTTGAAGCACGAGAAACAGACTCCTTTTGGATGAAACTCAGTGGGAGGACACACACCAGGGACCATACCTGAAATTTGCCATGGCCAAGTTTCCTCCTGGACTTTCTCGGAGCCACAGTGGAGCTGATCCAAAATCACCTTCCCCCCCCCATCCAGACCGTGCATCCTAGGGAGGTAGGGTTTCAGCAACTGCTGTTTCTCTGCCAGCATCTGCTCCAAAGGTGGTGCACTATTGGCTGATGTAAGAAGAACAGAAAAATGCTGTCAAGGGACTCACCTCTAGGATAGTACCAGACAGTCCATCATTCCCAGAGTGACCCTTGCCCACCAACACCATTGAGCTCGTGACTCAGAACATTGCAACTGATAAGGCTGCACTGCCAGAAAGAGTCTGCAAGTTCCTCCTGTACAGCTACAAGCCCCAGCACAGAAGTTCAGAATAAATTAATTTCTGCTTAGCCTGGTCTGTTTGGTCAAACAGTATAAAGGCTCGTCGCTTGCAGGCAAAATGTTTGTATTCTAGAAATTATAAATTGGCAGCTTTTGATAGGACCAATATTCCATAGATTTTTGTTAAAATTAATAATGGGAATAAGCGCAAAAAATAAATCTATTTTCCTGCACATATAATCAAATAATCAAGCAGGTATGTATACCATAAGCTCTCTCTCATTATCAAACAATTTCAGCTCTGTTCTCATTTGCTATGTCTATACCTTTAACCAGGAATTTTAAAATTCAAAAGGTTAACGATATCACTTTAAGATTATCACCTGGTTTATAATTACTTGGTACAAAGGACAAAGGAGATATTTTTAAACCTTTTGATCTTTGGAAGGAAAGATTTTATAAGAAGGAGATAAGCATTATCTAGTACTTCATCATAAAGAACAATCATGAATGATTTATGTTCCTTACTGTAAAATCAGATATATTTCAAGCTTCCCAGTATGCCATACTTGATTAGATCTGAAAACCCAGTTTTCAATGCATTTATTATGCCAGTTAAATTAATTATTTGAGTAAACCAGTAGTATTTAAGCAGGGAAGAACCTCCACCGTACACAGTTTTCTTTCCTCTTCCTTCATTGCTCGTAGTAGAAAATAGATCAGCAAAAATTTCTAGGCAAAATATGAGCATTCCCATCTTACAAATTGCAAGTCTGGTTTCGAGATATCTCAGGCTGAAGGGAGTCTTCTGGGTGAATTACTCCAGCCCTCCACCTGTTATGTGGAAAAAAAGGTTGCTATTACATCATTCTCTTGGCCATGCACTTCCAAGGAGAAAAAAAATGGTCATGGATGCACAGAGACCCTTACCATTCTGGAAAAGGTGAGGGAGTTTTGGTGCCCACCTGTATTTACTGCCTCCAGCTTCCCATGACCAGTGATGGCCCATGCAGCAATGGGAAGTCTGGCTGTCCTTGGCACCCAGAGCTTTAACCAGCAACACAGGGGGCACAGTACCTTCCATGCAGTTAAATCCATCAAATTCTGCACTCAGAGTTTGATACTTCAGAATGAAGTAGTCATTTCATCACACAAAAGTGACCACTAAATCTTTTTAGTTAACTGTAGAGGCAAGGGCCATGGATTTCTTGATTTCTTGTTGCATTATAATATATCTTTTTGTACTTCAGGTAAAATAAGGTATATTTGCTGCCTTATATGCTTCTTCTAGTCAATAAACCATACAATTTATTCCCGTGTTCAATTTTGTCTCTCTTTTGTGAATGACATAAATATTTAGTTATATGAAGACATCTCTATAGGTTTGATCTATGTGAAAATCAAGAAAACAAAAGCAAGGCCTTTAAGAAAATTATACGCAACACCATTACACTCTCCAATAAAATCTCTAAGGTCAAGAGGAGTTTTCTATGGGAAAATACGGCAGTATTGGACGTAGCATATGCTGTTCTTCATTACGTTCCCAGAATTAGTCTTTTCTAGTAATGAGTAGCCAGTTAATAAAGTCTTTTCAGTTCGTATTCTTTTCTTCTCTCACTAATTTACACGAACTAGGAGACTGACCTTGTCACAGTTCAGAAATCTTTCCCTTCAGTCTTAGCCTCTCTTCATTCATAATCCTTTATTTACCTTTCGTGGTCAAATTGTTCTGCCCATATTCTTTTCTTTTAGTGGTCATAAATAATGCTGCACTGATGTATCCTGAACAAAGTACCTTATTGTCCAAGTGATCCCACTGATGGCAGAGACTGTATCGAGGTTTCCCTGCACAACCACACATGGGCACATAAGCCTATAAGCACTGTCAGTGCAGGAATCACGAGTGACCTGCAAAACATCAGAAGGCAGTGCTGGGCGGGCTGCTCTCTTTCCATTGTCAACATCTGGCCAAAAGCCAAAAACTTCTCTTTGTTTTCCTCTTTTTTTTTTTTGGTCTTTTAACTATTACCATGATAACTTAGAAATGGATGGTTTTTAAGCCAACAAGCAAGAATATCTAAATGCCACCTACTTTTTAGCACCCCTCAAATAATAATGAGCATAAAAGGTGGTCTGCAATGTGCAAACACATAGATGTATATA